ATCATTCTTCCTCCTCCATACTTGGTTTAATTTAAAGTATCTGTACACTAAACAGTTCACGGTGCCAAAGAGCAAAAGTAAAAACTGAGCTGCTGTCTCTGCCCGTGTCGGAGGTCCCACCCTTTGCAGATGGCGTCCCAATTGGCAAAACATGCAGATCACCCCCTTAACTCACCCACTGGTGGCAAATCACCCCCTCAACCCACTTCACGCGCAGACCACCCCCTCAACTCACCTGCAGTGGCAAATCACCCCCTTTGTTAACGCCGGCACCATCCTTCCGTTAGCTTTTAATAGTCCCCTCTGTTAACACCGTCGAAGCTTTTTCCATTTCAGAAATCGTCTCGTTCTCGCGCATCGACTCGTAGTCAGACTCGTCTTTGAAATCCGAGAAGCTCGATCTCGAGGGAGAAGCTCTGGAGGAATGGCTGGAGACAGACTCTGAATCAAGGTGATCCATGTTTGACTTGAGAATCGGGTAAAACTCCTTCTGGAGCTGTTTCATGGCGGTTTCCATCAGGTTCTGAGCCCGGACTAGTTTCCCCACCACCGGATTCTCGGAGACGAAGTACTGCATAGCGCGTTGGAGGTGGTTGATGGAATTGAGATATTGTTTTACTTTGTGGCGGTTCTCTGAGGAAAAGAGGTAGGCGATGTTGCAGTAGGAGGAGGAGTCCGAAGAGTCCCATTTAGTAATTATCGACTGAGCCACCTCGATGTCCTCGTCCGTTAGGGACTCTGAAAAAGTCTGGCGGACCGGCGAAGGTGGTGGAGTGGACCTTGTCGGCGACGGTGACTTAGAGAAGACGGTCCTCATCTGAAATTTCCACTCTTAATCAATTGAATTTGAGTGTTAAATTGTTGTTTGGAGACAGAAGAAGAGAGTAGTTACTGGTTCCTGGCTGAGAGTATGAAGATGTGGGAGAGCTGGAACGAGAGGGGTATATAGAGGAGGGAGGAAGGAGGATGGAATCGAGTGAGAATCATGAATTTTAAAAGCTAACGGAAGGATGGTGCCGGCGTTAACAGAGGGGTGATTTGCCACTACAGGTCAGTTGAGGGGGTGGTCTGCGCGTAAAGTGGAGGGGGTGGTCTGCGCGTAAAGTGGGTTGAGGGGGTGATTTGCCACCAGTGAATGAGTTAAGGGGGTGATCTGCATGTTTTGCCGTCCCAATTTGTCTCTGCAAAAGCACTGCATTCAGCAGAATTGAATTTCCATTTGATGTTCCAGCCAGACCAATCCATCTGAAGGTCCTACTCAGTAACAGTCACATGCTATAACAGAGGGCAATCAATT